CCCCAAAACCCCAAAACCCCAAAACCCCGAGAAGAGTAATAAAAAGACAATTAAAGGGAAGCAAAATATAGATATATCGGGAATGATATTTATATGTTATGTATATATAAAATATTAATTATCATCACATAAGACATAGTTTAATTTAAAGGAAAAATGGAATCCTTGAATAAAGAGATTATCCTAATTACTGGTATCACAGGCTATTTAGGCTCATGGGTCGCAAAAACATTTGTTGAAAAAACTAATCATACTCACAGAATTAGGGCTAGCACGAGATCTTTGCAGAAAATAGAGAAATTAATGCCTCTCAAAGCGGCTTTTGGAAATGAAGAGTTTGAAATGATCGAGTTTGTTGAAGCTGACCTTAGTGATAAGTAATCTTTATTCAATGCAGTTCAAGGAGTATCGTATATAATTCACGTAGCCAGCCCTCTGCCTGGTTAAGGTATTAGTGATAGAGAAATGATTAGTCAGGCTCAAGAAGGAATGAAGTTTTTACTTGACGCAGCTGTACAAAACAAGGTCAAGAAGATTGTAGTTACATCCAGTCTAGCTACGATTTAAGGGAATCATTTTAGGAAGAGTGAAAGAAATCATGTATATGATGAAAATGATTTTGCACCAATAGCTGGAGTTGAAGGCTATATCAAGAGTAAAATTGTACAAGAGCATGAATTAATCAATTTCCTTAAACATCAGTGCTAAAACCCTGATCCTAGTGGTTATTAGCTTGAAATATGCACCATTCATCCTACCTTTATCCTCGGACCTAGTCTAATTAAAGAAAGACATAGCTCTATTGAAGCCATTTGCAGGATACTAAACAACGAAATACCAGCAATTCCTAAATTCGGATCTCCAGCTGTAGATGTCAGAGATGTTGCTCTCTTGCACTATTTAGCATTTGAAAAGCAAAATATCTAAGGAGAAAGATTCCTTGCTACATAGGAGACTATATCACTTTTGGATATTGCTAATATCTTGAAAGAAGAATTCTAACCATAAGGGTACAAAGTTTAGACAAAGCTGATTGGATATTGTCCTTTGAAACTAGCTAGCTATTTTAATAGAGAAGTTAAATCTATCCTGCCATTTATCAATGAAAATTCCTAAGCAAGCAACATAAAATCAATTGAAGTGCTTGGTATGAAGTATACTAGAGAAATGAAGCAAATTGTTATTGATATGGGCTATTCAATAATTGAGAAAGGATTGATTCCTGATAAGAGAAAAAATAGTAAGAAATGATTTGAATGTGGATGTCCGATTACATTATTTTGATTATTAAATGATTTTGAGCTGATTTAAATTACAGAATATCAATTTTATTTCATAAAAATTATGGGGTTTTGGGGTTTTGGGG